GATGGCTACATCCCTACACACAGTTGGGGTTGATTTATTAAAACTGGAGAGTGCAAAATCTGGTGCATCTCTGCAAAGAAACCAATCAGCTTTCAGGCTTTTTGTCAAAGCATTATTGAGTAGACTGAAGTTAGAAGCTGATTGGCTACCATGGAGAGTTGCACATGTTTTTTTCACTCTCCACTGGGACCATGAGGAAAAAACGTTCCCACCCTCTAACTAGAATCACAGCAGCACAAACAATTTGGAGATTTGGAGATTTTGCGTTAAAGTGGTTGTAAAGGCTGAAGGTTTTTCACCTTCATGGATTCTATGGCCTTTTTAAAGCAATCCACGGAGCTGGCCAGAACCAACTCTCAAGGGAGTCTATTCCACATTTTCACAGCTCTCACTGTGAAGAAACCTTGCCGTGTTTTTAGATTAAATTTCTTTTCCTCCAGACGTAAAGAGTGTCCCCTTGTCCTCTGTGATGACCTCAGGGTGAATAACTCTACACCGAGTTCACTGTATGAACCACTGATGTGTTTATACATGTTGATCATATTCCCTCTTAATCTCCTCTTCTCAAGAGAGAATAAATTCAATTCCTCTAATCTTTCCTTATAGCTGATCTCCTCCATGCCTCTTATCAGTTTAGTTGCCCTTCTCTATACTTTCTCCAGTTCTCAAAAACTTGTGGAAAAAAAATAAATCTTCCATGGACTCAATATGCCTCTCAGCATATTGAGTCCATCTAGCTTAGGGTGCCTACTTTCCGAAAAGGGGTCATTTGGGGGTGTTTGTACCAGGGGCAGACTGACAACTCGTGGGGCTCCCGGGCAATAGGGGATCATGAGGCCCCTGTGTCCTTGCCCAAACTCAAAAAAGCCTATGAAAAAGGTACCAGGGGCATCTCATGGGGCCCCCTACTGACCCCGGGCCCTCAGGCAGTGCCCGAGTTTTCAAATGGTCAGTCCGCCCCTGGTTTGTACTGTCCTGGTATTTTAGCAACTCAAGAAATGTGACAGACAGTCAGAAAGTAAAAGCTGTATAAACTCCATTATCTATACCATAGTTTGTAGATGCTACAAATTGTTTTTCTTCAAAATTTTCAGTCTTTTTTTTTGTTTATAGCGCAAAAAAATAAAAAGAGCTCAGGTGATCAAATACCACCAAAAGAAAGCTCTATTTGTGTGGAAAAAAGGACATAAATTTTGTTTGGGTGCAACATTGCATGAACACACAATTACCAGTTGAAATAGTGCAGCGCCGAATAGCAAAAAGAGGCCTGGTCAGGAAGGGGAGTAAATCCTAAGGAGGACAAGTGGTTAAACAGATTTTTTTCTTTGTTACCAAAGAAGGCTTTTGGCTCTAACTCAAGTACATTTTGGCATACTGTAGTCTTGCTTTTCTTACTGTCTCTGTGTCTGCGAGTGGGGTTCTGAGAGCAGACACTGATGCTCCTGCAGTGCAGGACAGCTTGAATGTCTTTGGGAACATGTTTGGGGCTGCTGATCCCCATCGGACTATTATGCGTTGATATTTCCTCAATTTTCTCATCGTTTTAGCGTCACCTTAAGTTCCCAGAGGGCAAGAAAGAGTGGCTCCATCATACCATTCACTCTTCCTGCTCACATTCATAGAAACTCAGAAACAAATATATGACAGTTTCATGCTTGGGGGAGATCAGGTGGTATTTAGGTGGGAAATAGTTCTTCAAAGGATTGGATATATGTCCAGATGTGTGGTAGAGATCACACAGAGAAATAAATTGTAGACTTAGAAAATGTGGTCTCACAGACAAACGTAGGTTTAGGGCCTGTTCACACCAGAATAGGGTTCAGGAAATCTACAGTTGCCATCTGCAACGGGTGTCAATGTTAACGACACGCCAAATGCAGGTTGCAAATACAGTGCGTTTGCCTGCACCGGATCGCATGTGCCTATGGACCTAAGTAACATGCGATCAGGTTGCAGTGCGTTTTTTAAAGGAGAGCATGCACTACTTTTGGTGCAGTCCAGTATGATTCAGCCCATTCAAAATGAATGAGCTCAAATTGCACTGCATGTGAATTGCAGTGAATTCCTGGTGTGAACCAGCCCTTATAACTTGGGTAATGTCTGCACAGAAAAAGAACAGATTAATTGACAGAAAGGGTGACTATCTTTACACTGGAAAGATTTTATTTAATTATTTATTTGGCTAAATGGTTAGCACTTCCACCTGGCAGTACTAGGGTCGTTGGTTTGAATCCCAACCACGGCACCACCTGCCTGGAGTTTGCATGTTCTCCCTGTGCCTGCGTGGGTTTCCTCCAGGTACTCCAGTTTCCTCCCACACACCAAAGACATGCTGGTAGGTGAATTGGATTCTGTCTAAATTGGCCCTAGTATGTATATGTATGAATGTAAGTTAGGGACTTTAGATTGTACACCCCTTGAGGGTTAGGGACTGATGTGAATGTACAATATATATGTAAAGCGCTGCGTAAATTGATGGCGCTATATAAGTACCTGTAATAAATAAACTTTTCTTTAATGACTAAAACATTTGATTTCAAACATTTCCCCTGTGTTATTCATTCAAACTTTTTAAAACTATTAAAATAACCTATTTACCTGGAATTCTATATTGGATGACATTGTAAATGTGGCTTTATTTATTTGATATCTTGTGTAAAAGGATGTGTGTATCCTGGATCACTGCCCCGCCCATTGTGTGATCTTACATTAGACGGAAGGTAGTTTACCTGCTGGTTTTACAGCATTCCAATAATGAGGGTGTTACCAGCTCCTAATATTACCATGACTTAGATGAAATCTGCTCTGCTACACAGAAGACAATGCTGCCTAAGCCTGCCATGTATACCGATTATACCAACTTAGAAAAACCTAATATTAGAAAGGTAAAACTCTGCCTTTGTGTTTGTCTCCATACAGTAATACAGAATGTAAAAATGACTTTATAATCCAATGAACATGTAGGCACATATATTTACATGCACAATGTATATCTTTGTGTGATTGCTGATCTACAATTGTCCTTCCTGGCATGTTTGTGAATCTTAGTTTAAATGAGTGTTCATATTACAAGCATCATGCTGCTCAATGTACCTGGCTTGTGAGGCCGCATTCACATTGCGGTTAAAAAAAAACACATTTACAACTTTTTTTTATTTATGGATCTGAATGCAGCTGCATTGTTTTCAATGGAGGCATTCACACAGGTGCATAAAATGCAATGCTTTCATATCCATCACAAAAATCTGCATTTGAGGGTATGCGTGTGCATGTATATCTTTGTAAAAAAAAAAAAACAGGACAATTATAATGCAGTAAAACGTGGACCTATTTACTAATCATTACACAGGAAATTTTGTTCCTTGCCTTAACCACTTGCCCTCCAGAGGATTTACCCCCCTTCCTGACCAGGCCATTTTTTGCATTATGGCACTGCGTTACGTTAACTGACAATTGCGCGGTCATGCAACGCTGCACCCAAATTACATTTATGTCCTTTTTTTCCCATGAATAGAAATTTCTTTCGGTAATATTCAATCGCCTGTGTGGTTTTTATTTTTGTGCTATAAAAAGCACTGACACTGTGCTAATGGTAATGGGCAGGAAGGGGTTAATATGTGGGGCGATCAAAGGGTTAACTGTGTGCTGTTTTACTTTGTGTTGTGTGTGTGCTTTCAACTGCAAGCATGCTGCTTTGCATGGATCCAGTGTGCAGGAGCTGACAGGGAAGAGAACTGTATTGTTTACATACAGTTCTCTCCCTCCATCAGTAATGCCAGTGCCAGTGAGTAATCACCTGCCAAGACCCCGTGATTGACAGCCGAGGCCATGAATACCTGCACTGGTACCCGAAAATGCAAAATCACATTTATATACGTGATTTTGCGCACCCGTGCTGCCCTGTAACATTATTACTGCTATAGGGCAGATGGGGAGTGGTTAATGATCAGTGAATGTTTATGGATGTGTTACGGACATGTGAATGAGGCCTGATAGTGCCGTGACTGCTTTAAGCACCACTAACAGCAATCTAGTAGTGCAGGGGTTAACCTACGATTAAAGATAGTGACTTTATAACATAAATTATACTGGAAATACTTTGTGACTACAGTTTATATTTAAAACCATAAAACAGTTAAAGCCTACAGACCAGAATCACGCCTAGACATGCACATTTCGTTTGGATTAATTTTTCATCCGAAAATTGTATTTTTGTTGATTCGGATGTATACAAATCTCCAAATGGACATAGTAACCCAGGGATTTTTTTACCATGTGTGCATCTTATGTTTACTGTAGTAAAGTGAGTAAAAAGATGAAACTTGATTGGTTTGCTATTATTTACTGCGCTTTACTCCTTTTCATTGTTCTTTTTATTACCTTAAGTCAGTATGGGGTTGATTTACTAAAGCTGGACATTGCTAAATCTGGCATAACGCTGCATAGAAACCAATCAGCTTCCAGGTTTTATTGTGAAAGCTTAATTAAATAAGCTGAAATGAGAAATTGATTGGCTACCATGTGCAGCTGGCACCAGATTCTGAGTGCTCCAGTTTTTGTAAATCTCCAACTATACAGTATATCTAAGGCTAGGTTCACATATGTGCGGGTGGTGCGGCTGGGGATCCGCATGAAAATCCGTGCAGCCGCACCACCTGCACAGAGGAATGCAGACCCGCAGGCTGGTGCCATTAGTTCTAATGGCACGCTGTCCGCACTGGAAAACGCAACCGTACTCAGAACCGAGGTTCCCGTGTGGGCTGCGTTTTCAGAAGAAGTGCAGGAACTTCTTCCCTGCGTGTCACGGGGCACGGGAGTCCATTCAAATGAATGGTCTCTTGTGCCTGCACAAAACGCAACCCGCACGGTCGCATATATGTGAACCAGGGCCAGCGATACACATTAATTAGATGTTTTGTAGGGAATATTATACTGCCTTTCCTCAGGTTTGTCTGCAAATAACTTCCCTTCCATTTCAGATAAAGACTTGCGACTAATTCATGGAGCTGCCATTCACCAATCTAGAAATAGCATTTATATTACTGGCCTTCATTATCTTCTCACTGTTTTCCTTGGCATCAATCTATAGTGAACCTGACCAACGCAATGATGGTGAGTATGTGCAGCTATACATTTCACATATGTAATGTTTCAGTAGAAAGCAAATGTATACTATTGGTAAAGCAGTAACATGCAGGTCAATTAAAGAGGAACTTCACTCTCTTCATCAACGTTGACTATTTGGAATCCTTATGCTGCTAGCATTAACAAACAGATAGGAACGAATATTATACTTACTTGTTTTAAAAGTTTTTTTCTACATTTCCTCTGTTACTTCCTGGTTTTCAGACCAAGACAATTAATATCATATATCCTAGGAGTCTTCCCTCCTGCCTGAGCTAAGGAAAGACGAATTCCAGGAAGTAAATGCTACATAAATCATCTGCATTTACTTAATATGGTCACAGCCATAAATGTTAGGAGGTTTTTCAAAGTGATCTCTCAGCAAAATAAAACATGGATACATCGATGCGTGAGTTTGCTTTAAATATTAAAAATGAATTAAATAGTGTATTTGGTTTGTGGTGCTCGGATACAGTGTAGTTCTACTTTAACTTCTTGGCATGTGTCGTACTCATATATACAGCCACTCAGTGGGTGGGCCTAAGGCTGGCCATACATTATACAATTTTCTTGAGATTTTTGGTTTAGATTTACCAAAAACCATATAATAGGAGGTCAAAACTAACACTTTCAATTGTATCCAATTAGGCAGGCTCTTGCACTACATAGTTGAAGGTAAATCTAAAGGAAATTGGGCAGAAAAATTGGACAGAAAATTGTATAGTGTATGGCCAGCCTTACACCGAGCAGCCGCATATATGCCCTGTTAAATCAACTTGCCATGCTGAGAGCACGCTCCCAGCACAGTGGCTGACAGGGATCGGTAAGCTCCTGATACATATTTGCGAATGGGATCTCCCGGATTATGTGATTAATGTGACAGCTAATCACAGAAGTCACATGCAGTGAAGGAGAAAAAATACCTAGTTTTGAAAAATATTATAAAAGAAACAAATAAACTTTTTTTTTTTTTTTTTCAAATTTTTTGCACTTTTTTTAATTTATAGCGCAAAAAGTAAAGCGCAGTGGGCCGATTTAGCTCTATTTTGTGAGTGCCAAAATTTCCATATGGGTACAATTTGCTGACCGCGCAATTGTCTATCAAAGTGAGCGGCAGGCGCTGAAAGCCAAAATGTCCACCTCTGCTTCCCAGCTTTTAGAACCCTTAAAGGTCCAGAAGGCGGTCAGCACCAAGGGGTTAATTGTTAAAACTTCTCTGCTAAACAAGGGTTCTTGTATGTCCACTTTTCCCCATGTGTTTACATAAATAATACTTGGTATAGAAGATGTGACCATATCAGAGATATATCAATGTTTGCTGAAAGTGGGAGTAAACTCAGATATTTGCTCTGTTTGACAGCCGTTGCATGCACTTTGAAGGAGTGGCATACACGTGCTGTTCCTTCAGAGCACTGTGCCATGGCCTGGAACTCCCGAGTGCATGTGCCGGAGTGTCGTCATGGCCACAGCTTGCCTACTCGGAAGGAAGACTGGGTGAAGATGGAAGCCTCTGCAGTGGCGACAAGCTGCTGGAGGGCTTTGTTTTAAGGCAAGTCCATCATAATGTGCTAGTATGCGATGCATACTAACGCATTGTAACATTGCCTTGCAGGGGAGGGCTTTGTTTTTTTTAATTTAACGCATTGTAACATTACCTTGCAGGGGATTTTTTTGCAGTTTACTACTGCTTTAAGGTCTTACTATGGCTAGTACTATTGTCCTCTAAAAATAGAACTAGTGATTTTTGCAACCCTGACTAACCAGCCATGACTGGACGGGTCTGGATGGTGCACCAAGTAGCACTAGCATTTAGGGCAGTATGCATCCAGGGAGGAATGCCCAAAATGTAGACTGCTTGCATTCTGTGTTCATCCCTGGGCACATACTGCCCTAATTGCTAGTACCACCCAGAGAATCATTCATCTGCAGCAGCTTTCAGCCTCTCATAGAATTACCGGTTGCTGGCAAACCTGAGCTGTGTGCCCTGTGCCTTTCACCTGCAGCAAAACATTGGGATCTCTCGAAGGGGTATATGAAAGTGTGCAGTCTTCAAAAAAGTTCTTTCTTTGTTTCCAATAAATCTGGAAGGCCATCCCATGTTCCAGACATTACAGTCTTCTTTGTTTGTCCATAAGTGTACATGGCCAAAACTGTTAAAGTGATACTAAATGCACACTGTTTAACTTACATTATCCCTTCTCTTTATGTACAGTCATGGCCAAATATATTGTCACCTATCGGCGGACTGACAACTCATGGGCAGTGGTGTATTTAGGTTTTGTGATGCCCTAGTCAACACAAAGATTGTCTGTCTTTGCGACACTGACCACCTCAACCTCCCCTTCCCCCTGCCTTGTAGAGAGCCTGGCATTGACCAACAACACCCCTGCCCCCCACTCGGGAGAGCCTTCCACTACCTCCCCCCCCCCGGCAAGAGAGAGACACTCTGCTTCACAACTCCGGACATCCCCGGGAACGAGTCAGGCTCTGCATACACCATCAAGCAGCTCACAGCCTCTCTCAGATCCCACCTGGTTCCCATAACGCTTGTCCCTTCTTTCATCCCTTCTTCTGGGGGGAGGTGCCGCCCCCCTGAAAAATGCTGCCCTAGGCAAGTGCCTTATTTGCCTTGTGGTAAATACACCCCTGCTCATGGGGCCCCTGGGCAAAAAGAGATCATGGGGCCCCTGTGTCCTCGCTCACACTCAAACCACACCCAAAAAAGCCTATGAAAGGTAGCAGGGGCATCTCATGGGGCCCTCTACTGACCCTGGGCCCTCGGGCAGTGCCCGAGTGCCTGAATGGTCAGTCCGCCCCTGTTGTCACCCCTGCATTTTTGTCAGATAATGCACCACTTCACCCAGAAAATTGTTGGAAATACAAATGTTTAGGCATTCTCATGTTTATTTCTTTTAACACAAAAAAGTGGAGAAACAAAAAGCCAAATCTGATACATTCCACGCAAAACCCCAAAAATGGACTGGAGAAAATTTTTGGCACCCTCAATTTAATATTTGGTAGCACACCCCTTGGAATAAATAACTGAAGCAAATCAATTCCTGTATGAAGGAAATCCTCCTGCGCTCAAAAAGGAAGTGATATATATAAATAAATATACTGTATATATATAGATATAAACTACCGCTGCTGACACTCTGAACTGATACCTTAACAGTGATGAATATCATTTCTCAAAATTAGTGCAGCGCTGACAAAAAAAAAAAATTACCATACAGTATATTGATAGTTTTATAATGATGTGGGTTTAATGACACTTTAAAGATAACAGCTATTGGAGATCAAGCTGGTAAATTTTCTGGTTTATAGATACATGGAACTATTCAATTTGAATCATTAAAATATTTACTAGACTCCACAAAAATGTTACTTTTATCTAGAAAAACATCCAAATATATAAAAAAAATAAAATTTATTTTAAAAAGAGATTTCTCTCTTGAGGGTGAAGAGACACATCTTTACTACTATCTCAGGAGATCCCAGGATTTAGATTAAGCTTCTTGGCATTTTGTGACAATATGATCCTAAGAATATTTCTATGCAGGATCCTCTTCAGCTCAAGTGATGCAGCACTGATGTGGCCTAGTCTCGCTAGTAGATTCTCTATTAAAAGAATGAATGAGAACATGCTTAGACAGTAGACTATGCAGGCCAAGACAACTGTAGCTCAGTTTAATAGCCAAGCTTTACCAGTCATGTCAGAGATAGGGGGAGATCTTTCCTCCAGGATCCAAGTTGGACAGCAGATAAAATAAGCTGTTCTTAGTTAATGAGACAATAAATTGTATCTCTAGTCTCCAAATATAATATTTTTAATGAAATCATTTTGTACTGTGTTTTCTAGACATGTGCAATTAGTTTTATTTTGAAATAAAATAGAATAGAATACAATAGAATAAAAGAGAATAGAACAGAATACAATAGAATATAAAGACATAGCATAGAATAAAACAACATAGAATAGAATAAAATAGCAAGAATATAATAGATTCGAATAGAATAACATAGAACAAATAGAACAAATATAGCCATCTTCTGAAATCCAAATTTTGGAAGACGACCATATTCATTCCATTTTACTCTTCTTTTTTTTCAGTTGTATTCTATTATTTTCAATTGTATTCTTCTATTGTCTATTCTATTATTTTCTATTCCATTCTATTTTATTCTATTCTATTTTTTTCTATTCTATTCTTTTATTTTCTATTCTGTTTTATTCTATTCTTTTCTTTTGTATTCCATTCCTTTATTTTGTATTATGTTCTATTCACTTTTATACCTTACTGTATTTATTGCAATATGTTTCCATTTCGAGTTTGAATTCATTTTCAAATTCATTTTCAAATTTGAATTAATTTCAAATCAATTTGAAAATCACAAATATACTAAACTAATCTGTATATACGAACCAGATTCTGAAATGTAATCATTTTAACATAAAGAGTATGATGAAACAAAATTATTAACTTAACTAACAAATCCAAAATGAAACAAAACAAATATTTCCGTCGTGCACATCTCTAGTGTTTTCATCTTTTTGTAAGCATCTTTACCTCTACTTTTCCCCCTCACTTCAGTTTGGAGTGCACATTAGTTGTGGTCATGTGCACTGTACACAATACAGATCCCATAGTCCATACTCTATAGTCCATATTGGGAGCAAGCAAGAGAAGGGTGGATACATTGCTAAATATAGTGGGACCATGTAGAACGAACGTAGTCACCCTCTAACAGAAAGTCAGATTGCAGCCACAAAAAAAAGGGGGGGGGATTCAGCCTGAGAACAATAGAAGGTACTTTCTGAGTGAGTTAGTTTTTACCAGCATATAGTGTCAGTTAGTGGTTAGTTAGTGGTTAGTTAGTGGTTCTTACGGTAGAAGGTTTTGTTTTACCTTAATGCATTCTGTGTGCTGCTCCCCCCCCAGCACCCACCATACTTACCTGAACCCGATCTCGATCCAGCTCTGTGCCTGAGCACAGCAGCTCTCTTGGCTCTCTCTCTCCT